CGCCGCCTATTTCATGATAGGCAGGCGCCTGTTTTCCGTCAGCCGCTGCGGCCATCTTTGTGATGGGCATTTCCGTTCATCCCACCCGGCACGGAACGAAAGAGGGCCGAAGTTCGATCTCCCGCCCCTGGGCTGCCGGGTTCGAGTCTTTTTTGAGAAGCGCCCTTGCGCTCCTCCCGCCTCTAACGCCATTTCAGTGGTTCTCCTTCCCCTTTCTGGGGAGGGAAGGGAAGAGTCCGCGGCGATCTTTCCCGAGCACTTCCTTGTAATGGGCACTTTTCTTTATTGAATCTTCGTTCATTTCCCTCCCGATCGTGTCCGCGCCGGTCTTGCTTTGCAAACTGGCCCAGGGCACCGGCCAAATTCCCTACGATGATGCCAGGGACAAATCGGGAGCATGTGCAGAGAGACTAAGGAGAAAAAAACTTTCGAAGGCAATAGAGGGACCAGAGGAGAAAGGAAGCATCAGTATTACTGGAAAGATGATTGTTTATCTGTTAAGGAAGCGTTAAACTGGTGAGGTCGTCCCCACCAAGCTAATCGAGGGCGTCAGGGGAAAAAAAAAGACGAAGGATAAGACGAGAGACCGCTATTTTATGATTCCATTCGCAAGGAAATAAAGAGAACTTCTGCACATGAACAAAACACTCAGTCGTGTTTGCCAGATGAAGCTTGGACTTCCCACACTAATATACGAGTGGAGGAAGATCAAACCTTTGCATTCATTCCTATTAATCACATTTGTGTTGATTGTAATTAAAGGCAGTGTGATTGTGTCCCATTTCATCCGACGCAACTACCCTGTAATAGGAAGGCTAGGCTGACACTGGTTCTGGACATCGCACTGAAGTCATTTAAAGAACTAATGATTGCATTTGCACATCTTAAGATTGGTTATTTATCATTTATTTGTCACATTTATATGGCTGCCCATCTCACACAAAGCGACTCTGGGTGGCACACAACAATTAAATATATCAAACTGAATTAAGTTTGGGAGTGTAGTATGTATGCAACCACCTCTCCCAAATAGATTTACAATAACTAGATGAAATGGTTGTGGGAACCAAGCCACTGACTGACTTCAAACACTATGTTTACTTGGTTATTAAAGACATTGTAGGAGGAGAGCTGTGTTAGTCTATGGCAGCCAAAAATCAGGATTTTGGTAGCATCTTTTCTGAGTAACACATTTTATTAAAAAGCATAAGCTTTTGTGATCTGATGAAGCAGTTTGATAAAGGGGTGAAGTGATTCCATTCATTCTGATGTTCTGATGATGCATCTGAGGATCTGAGCTGTAGCTGATGAAAGTTTATGCCTTTTAATAAAGTTTGTTACAGTCGTTGGAAATAGTGCTACCAAACTTCTTCTGATTTGGGTGTTATTAAATTAACCCATTTTCTGAATTCACACACAGTATACGGAACAGTAAAATAAATAGGCGGGGTTCGCACAACTTGCATAGCCATGCACATACAAAAACTAATCAAGGTTTAAACTAACCAAGCCTGGTGTATTATGAAAATGCTCCTGATTAAACATACTGGGCAAATTCAGCCACTAAGAAATGAAGTAGTTGGATCTCCTTAGCCAAGACAGATTCAGAACTCTGCCTGTTAATTGCTACCTCATACATTGGTTGGGTTCATGTAATAAGCTAAGCCGAAATGTGAGGTTTCTTGTTTCTGACTTGGTGCATTGGTGTGTTGAAGCAAATATGGTCACTAATTTATAAACCCAACTAAATGTGGGTTATTCAGTTCACCATAGTTAAATAAATAGCTTCTTGTGAACATGACTGCTAACAATTTCCAGAACCCCACAACAACAAACAATCTTGGTAGAACATTTAAATTTGTATTGTGAGAGAAGCGTCAGCCAATTCTGTAAGATCAGTGAAAATTTCTGCCTTAAGCATTTACCACAAAGCTGGCTTTTCTTCCTCAGATTTCAGTAATGACAGGAACTAATCAGCCCAAAAGTAATTTATTTTCTTGGACAATTACATTTCACATTGCAACCAGACCTACTCCTCTTTATTTCATTATAGGAATGAAACTCAGTAATGGAATTTATGTGGCAAATTATTTTGCCATAAAGCTTCCTACATGCAGATGTTTCACCATCTCCCAGGAATATGTTCAATTATTTATTATTGATTGATTATGTGCCATCAAGTCATTTTATTGCCCATTTTACATAGGAAGACTGAAATTGTTAGATTTAAATGACTGAACAAAACAAAATAATTCCTTTCAGCGAAATAAAATAAATGAGAGTAGAATTAGAAAAATGCCAATACATATGCCTTACAATTTGAACTTAGCTGTAAAAAAACATTAAAACTCAAATTGTTATTTAAGTTTAAAGTGTTTAAACATTCTGTTATTTACATCTGGCCAATTGTGTTTTTTTAGGGAAAAAAAGAACTAATTAGGAAAGTAACACAGCTACCTACTATGTAGCTAGATGGCAGCACATCACAAACTTTGGGTCACCTTAAAAGTTAAGTAGGATGGGATGAGGTAGCCTTTTAACAGGAGAACTTCTAAGGAATCCCAGGGTTACAGGCTAAACTGAGAAGGGAAAGGAAAAAAAAGCAACAGCAAACCACTTTATAATGTTGTCAAGAAAGCCCCATAGATAGTCCATGAAATCACCAGGAGGGATTTGAAGTAGACTGGTAGGTATCTTTTTATTGAATCTGAGCTGCCGGATAATTGTTGGCTTGCAAAATAACTGCAAATAAGAGGAACTCTGAGAAATGACAACAGGGTAATGGCCACAATTCTGTAAGGGTCCAGGGCATGAGTAACATGCCCACTTCCTCCATCCCTGGATGCTCCATGTTCCAGTTTCTCTTCCTCCCCATTTCTTCTTTCTAGCACTTTAAAAGTTTGTCATGGAATGTAATGCAAACCTAAGCTATAGCTTCATCCAACAACTTCAGTTTTCCAGTGGATCTGGAAATGAAGGAATAGGAAGAAGCAGAACAGGTCCTCTGTAGACTTCTTAAAAAAATATTTTGAAGTGTGTAAGTGGCTTTGAATGTGGGTGTCTTGAACATGAGCCAGCCCTCCCCCCCGAACAGCACAATTACTCAGAAATGAAACTTCCTTTCTTAATTTCACCCACGCCACGGCTCCTTCAGCTCAAAAGCAGAGGGTGGAATCTTCCGTGGGAGAGGAACTGCAAAACGAAATCTTAGCCATGCTCGTTCTGTAGGGCAGGCGTAACCCGGAGTGATGCTCTCAGGAGCTCTGTGGAGTGGGAAAGAAGACACTACCCGCACTTTTCTCCTTCCCCCGTCCAGGAATCACGACGAGATCCTTCTGAGGGCCCTTTGGGAAGAGGGATTCCTTTTGGGGTTCCCGGCTCAGCGCTTCGCAGATCATCCCCCTCCCCCGGGCGCCGGTGTCCGGCGGGCAAAGAGCGCGGGGAGCAGCTAAGTTAACCTGTCCTAGAGGAGCGCCAGGACTCGGAAGGGGGCGAGAGGCGGGAATGGATGTGTCTGCCAGCACCCGCCTTTCCGCCACGTGGCCCCGAGACTGCGGCCGATGGGCACCAACCGGCACTGCGACGCGACTGCGCCAGGAGAAGAAAGAGAGAAGGTCTGTCTCTACGCCCCCAGCCGCCACCCGCGCAAACCCCAACGCGCGGATCCGGGCTGCGAGGAGAATCCGTAACTGGAGGAGATCCGTGCGCAACAGCGCTGCTCCCTGCTGCTGTGCCACGCCCTGCCCCGCAGAGGGTGAGGGCTGCCCTGCAGAATGGGTGTGCAACGGAGAGGGGGAGGGAGGACGGCGCCGCCAGACTCTCCAGCCCCAAGTCCCTGAGGGCAGGAATGGAGGCAAGAGCTCTTGGGCACTAGGCTTTTCCACGCTGGCTCCGTTCCCTGCAGCTGGAGCACTAGCAGTGGGAAAAGATAGGGAAGACTGTGCCACATCCATCGACAGGTCAGAGATGCTTGTTAACCATTCTATCTATTTTAAAGCAAAATGTTGACCAGCCAGTAGAAATCCAGGGAGCAAATGGTGGGCTCCTGGAATGTGTCTCTCTGGTGGGCTAATTTTCTATTTGCAGTGAATGATGGGAGGGGACCTACCGAGAAATGTAATTCCCCTTAGCTGCAGCTGAATGTAGTAAAGGACATGCTAGAACCCACACTGCCACTGCACCCCATCTTCTGACAGGTAATGTGTGGGAGCAGCAGGAAAGGGGTGAGGTGGATTGGAAAGTAGAACTATGCGTGGGAAGGAAGAATAAAGTATTGTATTAACTCCCTGCTTGACTCAGGTTAGTAGAAACAGTTATGGGTGTGAATTTTAGGCTGCTTGTTCTTGAAGGCAGCATACCTGTACTTGGTAGCAAATCTGACCAGACCAGCTTCTTTTCTTCTGATGGGCAGCTCATGATTCGGTCCGTCTTCTCTGCCTCCCTCTGGTTGCTTTTGCTAGCCCACCGTGTGCAAAGGGAACCTTGGTGTGCCTGTAGCACCATATGCATCTCTCACTGCAGATAATGGTGTTTGTTCCAGAGAGATATTTCTACCCCCAGTGATCTGCAGGACGTGAAGTGCCTCCCCCCTGCCCACCAGGACCAGAATGAAGGGGCTACTTCTAGCAGTTTGGTTCTTCATTGTGCCAGCCAGCTGGGCAGCACCAAAGAACAGCAGTGGCAGGTACCACCCAGTTGAAAGGGATGAGGGTGTCTGTGACCACAGAAGTGAGCAGGAAACTGTCTCCTAAAGGAGTCATCAGAGCTGAGAATGGGTCTGCAACCCATTTTCTGTACAGCAGAGGAGCATATGGTGAAGTGGTTAAACTTCTTTGTGCCTGCCCCGTGTCTTTTAGGCCTGAGATCCCCCCCAATTCCATGGATCAACCCATCCTGAATCCTCTGCACCCAGGCCAAGATTCTCTAAAGTGAGTACTTGTCACCCAGCAAGTGTGCCCCCACCCCCAAAATTCAACCCTTTTGCCACAGATGAAAGGCTGAGGTCTAAGGGGTCTGAAATTTGTTGGTTCTGTAGCTGGATGAAGGTTGGCTGTTTGTCTTTTTGTCACAATCCATCCCAGGATAGCTTCCTTCCCACTTTCTCTCCAAAAATAACAGGGAAAGATTCCATCTCCCCATTCAGGTAATGTGTGTATTTCAGCTGAACCTGGGGGCTTTTTAGAGCTGGTTTGCATAGGCCTTGGCCTACCAGCCTATGTTAATATTCATAATCAATCAGCATATACTAGTTGGATTTAAATTACTCACTAGCCTAGGCTAAGATGGAACTTGGTAGCTTATAGTTCAGCAAGTTGTAGGGACTAAACCATCATCTTAGATATTAGGTGGGAACACATAATTTATTTCTTTGAGCATAGCATGTGATATGAATACAGCAACTGTATTTGGTTCCTTCAGATTTAGGATTTAGTACAGTGTTGTCCAAACTTGGCCACTTTAAGATGAGTGGACTTCAACTCCCAGAATCCCCCAGCCAGTGTTGGCTGGGGAATTC